GGGTACCGACAAAAACGCATCGCTCGATTCACTAGAGGGACTCTACGATCAACTCACGACAAAGTACAATCTACTGGCAGATCTAGAAGTCACTATACTAGATCTTACACCTGACGATGACTTTGATTCAGTGAGTGAAGCATCTGGGGATTATCAGGCCGATATCTACGACAAAAAACATTCGATTTCTATATTTGTGAAGAAACATCGCAAACTGGAAAGTGTAAAATCCTCGCCCGAGCCTTCCAACGAAAACGCCGCTACCGACGCCTCAACTACATCTTCGTCTACGCCAACCAGGACAGCTATTTCACTACCGAAGTTACAGTTACAAACATTCTCAGGTAACGTTGTTGAATGGCACAGTTTCTACGACATATTTAAGTCCACCATCCACGCAGACACCTCTCTTGATCCGGTCCAAAAGTTCACATACCTTCGTAGTATGCTACAAGGCGAAGCAGCGGACACTATCGCCAGACTCACTCTCACGGATGGAAATTATTGCCACGCCATCGACTTGTTAGTCGAACGATACGGACAAACTCATCAAATTATCGACGCGCATACAACCGCACTTTGGACACTCGCTAAACACATTGGTGATGTTAAAAGCCTCAGACATTTCTACGATCAAATGGAAATACACGTTCGAGGGCTCCAGTCGCTGGGAAAGGAAGAAAATTCATATGGAGAATTACTCGTCCCTATGATAAGAGATAAGATTCCACAGAACATTCGTTTACAAATAGCCCACAAACACGGTAACTCGATATGGACACTGAAACAGTTACGAGCCGCGATTCTGCAGGAAATCAACGCTCTGAGTGCTGGCGACCCCTTACAAGAAGTGTCATCACTTACACTCGAACCAGTCATCACCGCCGCGTTTCACACTTCAACACAGTCGCCACGAATTCAGAAGTTGTGTCCATTCTGTTCGGGAAACCACTTCGCTTCGACATGTACCGTCGTCCGAGATACCAATCGAAGACTAGACATTGTGAAACGTGACCGTTTATGCTTCAACTGTCTGGGTAAGCATCGTGTTTCTGATTGTAAATCGAAATTCTCATGTAGAGTTTGTAACAAAAGACATCATACAGCGCTCCATTCTGAAACCCCGACACAGACGATGACCCAACCATCTCTGAGGTCATCATCCGAGATGTCAACAAGAGACAGTAACACAAGTCAAGTTACTGTCACTCATTTCCATAGACTAATTTAGTAACAACTCCAAGACGCCACTTTTGACGAATGTCAATGTCGCTATGGATTATGACAATGTCACCAACCTTGATCACGTTGTGTTTTGATCCCTTGGCCGAATGGCGTTCACGAAGAGCGGTGAGGTACTCAGTCGACCAGCGTCTCCAGAATTGCGTGTGTAGTCGAGAGAGGTGTTCATAGCGTTTGTTGACATGTTGATGACCGGAATACGTTGGATCTATAAGTTCCTCGTCAGTTACTGCGATATATGGTAACTGGGTCATCGTCCTTCCATGAAGAAGGTGGTTTGGGGTCAGCGAGACATTGTCACCGAGACTTGAGGAAACGTAAGTTAATGGTCTGTCATTGAGCACGGATTCAACTTCAGTAGTGACTGTGGTTAACTCGTCGAACGTAATAAGAGACCGTCCCAATGTTTTCTTGATTACGTTTTTTTTCCAATCAATCTTTCCCAAAAGCCACCAAACCATGGAGCACGCTCAGGAATGAATGACCATATCACACGGTGAGATGCTAAGAATTCTTTAATGTCGGGATTGTCAATTAATGTTCGTATTTCACAGGCGGCGGAGAGAAACGTAGAGGCATTATCCGATAGTAATCGACTCGGTAGCGAACGGTGCGTGGAAAATCGTCTAAAGGCGTGTATGAATGATCGTGTTGACATATCAGGTACGAGCTCCAGGTGGATCGCTCGGGTGACAGCGCAAGTAAACAGGCATATGTATGCTTTGCTACGTATTCCTTCTGTCGATTTTGTATATAAATGTCCCGTAAAATCGCCGCCTGTTATAGTAAAGGGCGGTGTAATATTGACGCGATATTCCGGCAATGGTGCTGGTATCGGATTGGCGTAAGGTTTACCAGTGACCTTGTTACAGGTCATGCACTCGTGAATAATTTTGCGTACAATTATCCGTATTTTTGGTATCCTGCAACGTTGGCAAATTTGGGTTACTGTAGACTGGACCCCTTCGTGCATGAGTAGTTCATGAGCTTTCACAATTTGTAAACTTATGATGTGGAGGCAGTAAAGCAGGGAATTTCGTAACAAAGTCTAACGGTGCGTTGTGTATGCGGCTACCACAACGCAGGGTGTCTTCGTTATCCAGAAACAAGTTCAACTGATCGCGTATTTGGAGAGAATGTACGACGTCCCCATAATTAGTGCGTTGTAGGTCAGTGACCCATTTCTTCTCCGCCATATTGATTTCTTCGGGAGACAGTTGAACGTTGTTATTGTTTGATGACCTCTTTAATTTGTTTACAAATCGAAGTACGTACACGGTTATTCGTAGTAATTTATCCGGTTTGTTATAGTTGTTTATATCCACAATGTTATGTACGCCAATATTGTCCGAAACTGGGTCAGAACCAGTATTATTGTTGCACATAACAATATTCCGGGAAGGCGAATATAATCCAGGGGTAAAATGACTACTTAATCCCTACGTGGGTAGTACCGGATCATTTTCAGTGGTTTCAACAGCGGAATGTAGGACGTCTTTGGCCGAATATAATCCAGGGGTGAAATGACTACTTAAGCCCTCTATGGGTAGTAACGGGTCATTTTCGGTGGTTTCGACAGCGGAATGTAGGACGTCTTTGGCCGAATATAATCCAGGGGTGAAATGACTACTTAAGCCCTCCATGGGTAGTAACGGGTCATTTTCGACGGTTTCGACGGTTGAATGTAGGACGTCTTTGGCCAAAATAATATTGGGGTGAATGTCAGGAATTATGTCCTCTGTTTTGCGATAAAAATCAGGAATAGTTGAACACGTTAAAGGCTCTGAAATACGATTCTCTGTGGTCATGACATGTAGAAGACGAACATTAGTGTCCACGGCTCGGCTCACACCAGACGGGCTGGATAACAAGTAGCTGAATTTTGATGAAACCGCGGTTGGACCAGTCTTGCCTTGAATTACTTGTGAACCAACGTATGACCAATATAAGTCGGCTCCGATAAGTATGTCGATCGGCCACGAGTTATATGTCGATATTGGGTGCACGGACTGCAAACCGAGTAAATGTTCCAATTGGTGAACTTCTGGCGAAATATAATTATTCAACTCTGCGGATATCTCTGAAATAATTGATGGCTTCAAAGATGAAGTGTGACCGGAAAGTTCATGGACAGTTAAATTGGTGAACATCATGGCGCGAACATTAGAGGTAGTGTCCCCGAAAGTGGATAATGTGACGTGTTCTTTTCTCGTAGGTTTCGCGGCGATTTCTCGTGCGAACTTTTCGGAAATGAATGACTGGTTCACTCCTTTGTCAAACATTATAATTACCTGTGACTGGAGCAGCTGAGTCTAATTCATTCAAACATATCATATATATAGGACTCCCTAGGTTAATAATTATCTGTGACTGGAGAGGCTGAGTCTAATTCATTCAAGACAGAACTTTTATCAAACATATTATGTATATAGGACTCCCTGGGTTAATAATTACCTGTGACTGGAGCGGCTGAGTCTAATCATCAAGAC